ACACAGCGACTCAAATGGTTCCCGCCAAAATGTTGTACTAGAGCAAGATTGAATGGAAAGTATTTGCAGAAACTCGAGCAATTCTGAACTCACGCTTGTATATCAGCCATCCGGAGGTTGTTTGGATCGATAAGAGTGATCACATTGGAAACCTGAAGACAAATCGCGATTTGGCTCATGTTACCTAGTTGTTGAGCTACTTTCTTCGGCATACAGACGATATTGTCTCTGAAGTGAATAAATATAGGGAAAGAAATGATTGGAAGTGGTTTGAGCCACAAACCTGCATATAGGCACTATTTCAACGCAGAATGTATGTTTGTAATCGTAGGTATTATTTTTAGTATCATGAGAGACAAGTTCCTGCAACATATTTTATAGTAACAATTAAAATAAAAAGTGTTTGATATGTACCTGAGCGTAATGGTATTTACAAGGCAGCACAGTATTCAGAAAGTCAAAAAACTTTCGCGCTTCTAGTAAACTGGCGAAGAAGAAGTCGATACCAGTAGGCACTGGTTTCACACCGGTACACTGATTGTGAGCCTAAGAATATAAATCGCTCCGAGAACAGCGAGAAAGATTTGAAAAATGCTTACCCCGTGTTTGAGAAGGAGTAAGATAAAATAGGGTTTTCTTGAATTGTGCTTTCTGCCTAACTTGTACGCATGCTCGCCAAAAGTCCTTTGTTTCCGCACGTCGACAATCATCGCACATCTGGAAATATTCCCAGTGACTTGCAATTACGAGCATTTAACAGTTGCGGACCGTACAGGGCTTTAAGAATGAGTCGCGGAATTCTCTAGAGTGATTACATGAGTTGAAAAGCGTGCAGATGACCCCCTTTTCATCAAAATTTAGGTTATAGACAAATTTCTGAAATCGATTTTTACTCCTAAAAATCCCGTACTTCCACTGGTCTTTGGGCACCTGCCATACTTGATCCGCTTGATTCGCTTCCTTACTAGTCGATTCACTGAACCGAACAATCGCAAAGCGACTGTCCGCTTTATCCGCTTGATCCTCTTCTTCCACCCCACTATTGGTCGGTTCACTGAATTGGCCAGTGATGAAGCCTGTCAAGCGGATCAGCGGATTAAGCGGATCAAGTATGGCGGGTGCCTTAGATATTATACATCAAGTTGCAGGAGTTATTCTTGAATTTCGTTTGCATGAAATGACATAAATCGAGCATTGCATTTGCAGGAACACTTTTCTTTGCAAATGCAGATTGTGTCAAAGCCGTCACACTTGAACATCAAGAGGATTTACTAAGGCTGGCGTCATACTTGAGCGGCACAGTCCCAGCACGCGCTCGAACTATGCCGGAACTGTGCCCGAAAGTGAGAAACCTAGAAGATGAAACGTTAGGAACGTTCTGAATACTCCAACTCCCGCCGCT